GCAGTAGCATTGCTTCCGCCAAATCGACAGGAAGCCCGCATCATCTAATTATAAATGTAAATACTTTTTTCGATATCTCAGTACAGTATATGAATAAAATATAATGTCTGCAATATTAATCTTGACTCTTTTCTGCATGGCTTATTTTTTTTATTTTATTGGCTTAACTATAACAATTGTAAATGGAATACGAATGGAAGTTGTGTAAATTGTTAGCTGATTTCTGTTAGCTGGACTCCTTGAACTTTGAGTTTAATATGTAGTTAAGTTAGGAATAACTCCAAAAGTGGAACAGCTCAAAGGAACTTTTTGCATTCAAGGTATATATATTTATGTTTTCTTCAAATTCTCTAAACTAAAGGTGAAGAACAATGATGTTTTAAGTGAGTTTATTGCAAGGGGTGTTTAGTCACGCAATCGCCAAACAGTGATTTTGCATATTTAATGAACCAAAGTTAACTCTTTCTCAAAGCGTGTGAATTTATTTGCCCAAAATAAATAATACATTTCTGAATTGAAAGGATGGAAAATGGACAAATCTGCCACTTTTTACATGCAATGACAAACATTAAAAATCAGTACCCGTCGCTCTTTATTGTGCACAAATGTGTTCAGTTGTTCAATTATCGTAAAACCACTATTAATAAACGAGGGAGTGATGTAGCTTTAACAGAAAGTATAATAAGACTATTTGGATTTAGGGTTTGGATACCAGGATTAAGTAAACATACGCAATTTCGGCCATTTTTCGATTGCGAAAATCGGTCCTCACAGCTGAAACATTTTTTTGCCTTTTTTCATAAACAAAAGAGTATTTTTAAAAACTAACCACATAACGTTTCGCACTTCACCATAGTCAACTTATATTCAAAAGTAGAGCAAATTTAAAATTTTGAGCCTTGCCACATATTTCTCATTTTGTTTGATTTTTGTAGACAGTCGCTCTTAATAAGTTTTTAAATTTAGTTAACTTATTATTAATTTGGACCGTTGTGAAAACAATCGTGTTTGATGGTGTATAGGCATTTAATTTTGGCTTCAACGTTTTCTGGCAGGCTATTGTTCCAGCATAAATACATCGAGTCCACTGGGTTCAACTGAACCAAATAAGAATAAGAATAATGAAGTAATATTAACCGGTTGAGGACGCGTAATAAGTAGGCATAATTAATAGAGTGCAAAGAATAAATTGTACTCAATACCCCCCCTCCCCTCCGCAACCCCCGCCCCCGTAGATTATACATGCAACCCTGGAAAAAATATGTTGCGCATGCTTCACGAATTTCACTTCCATTTTATGATTTAATTTCACCTCTTCTTTAGGGAAAGTTAAGGTGACTCTGACGGACGCTGAGAAGTCGGACAAATCTAAAAAGGGCAAATGTATTGCACATAAACGCCGAATAAAACAACGTCGCAACGATGGGACAGAAGAAGATGTAGACGCACACAGTCAAATATTTGTCATAGGTTATCGCTGATGTTAAACTATCATACGCCTTTCTTATAATATGTTATGTCTGATTTCTACACCAAATTCCCAATGATTTTCAGTGTGTACGATGCATGTGGCTAATAAATAAAAAGTGCGTTCAAGCTTTCATTGAGTGTGCTATTTCTTTTGTTTAATTAGGGAGATTGGCCACCCTCAGTCGTGCGTTTCTGCGAGGCGCACTTATAAACTATAAATACATGCATGCAATAACCCCTCGCACTTTCAAACAAAAACAACGGTATATAGTTCCTAAACTGTTTTTTTCACACAATCCATTTCCAGCAAATTATTAAGAAAATATAATTAAAACAAAAAGTTGACCAAATTTAATTTATGTTGTTTGTATTATAATCATGCATAGTTAAAAAAAATGAATAGGAATCTGGCAGGTAGCAGCAGACCAACTTATTTGAAATTCTTGATGTCACGATTAATTGCGAATACAATGACGTTTTGCTGCGTTTTCTTTGTGGATTTTCCAAAATTTTTGGCATTCAAGTAGCTGTATTGCTACAAATGGGCAGGCATACACTGCATAGTAAACATGCGATAAAACTCTGTCTAGACGGCCTGGCGTCAAGGATAATGATTGGATAATCCTTTTAGAATATGATGCATTAAGCCATTATACATTTTTTGCATTCTTTATCCGAACCAGGAATCGCTAACAAATTCATCAGAGGTTTTCCTTTTTCTTCGCGCGTTTTCTCGCATTTCGCGTTCGCCAAACCTAAAAAAAACCTCTGGGCCAGGCAAATGTTGTCGACGGGGGG